GGCTATCTGTTAATGAAAAGACAGGCGATTTTTGTCTTGTCAATTAATTAATCACCTTCTGCGACTGAAGCTCGAAGTGATTTGCGAAATGTTTCATGATCTGTGGAACGTTTTCTTTTCTGGGATCGTATATTAAGCGTTAGATCAAGTGCAAATGATTGAAAAGTTGTATGAGTAGAAGTAGAAACTAAATATAGAAGATAATCTTTATTAAAAAGTCATGATCTGTAAAAGATTACCAGGACCAAGCAGATTCAATAAAGAAGATGAAGATGATGGCAGTTGATCGATGTTCGTTGATGTATCAATAGATTTATTAGTAAGTACAGTTGGCGAAGAAGATGGCGAAGGAGAAGAACAGGATATTGTTGTTGAGTTTGATGACATTGAAGGTGTAGCACACACGAGGTGAGGCCGAAGGATATTTGTTGGAACATGATGTATACTTGAGGATTGAGTCGTCGGATATATGCTGGTATTATTAGCAACCTTGTGACACATAGCATTTTCATCGAACGGCCAAACGCCTAAAAATATATTTAACCCTTTATGACCGGATGTTGCCATTTGGCAACATTGTGCCAATATTTTAAGAAAGGTATAGGTATACTGTGGATAGATAGTGAATCAATAGTTCAATAATTACTGCAAGACATTTTAGAACGCACTCATAGCCCATGAAACAAAACAAAAACGTTCAGCGAAGAAAATTACCTGAGTCTTCTCGAGTACTCCTAAAGAACAACTGATTCATAAAAGACGTTCTTATGACACCCTGAATCATTCAATCCCACAGGTCACTAGTGGTAAATTTCTCCTCTTTGATCTATTGTATATTGTATCACTCAAAGAGATGATTCAATGAATACTGGCAATAAGAGGTATGGATGTTGCCAAATGGCAGCAGCCGGCCGTGAGAGTTCAAAATTTTAAAAAAATCATTTTTCGTTGTCGACCATCGTTATTCACTATTTTGCGTTTTTTTATTTATTCATACAAGAATAAAGCATACAAAACATATCTGGTGCATTTACATAGCTTTTCCTAGCATGAAATGGAACTTTCTATGAAAAAAAGCCAGCATGATAGTATTTTAGCTCTCAATAACTGGTATGGAAATAAGTATTTAATTTACGTATCGCCATAGATGTAGAGAAATAAAAGATCTACAAGAATACCTATCCTGATTATCAACAACAAAAAAGCCATGCAACTACTCTCTCGTTAAGTTCATCGTATGTCAAATTTTTCATGCAAAAGTCAATTTGAATCGCGGAGAAACTATACAGGTGTATCGTATATATTTTTTATGCTTTTTCTTGAATAATTAAATGAAAAGGACGCAAAATAGTGAATTTCGATGATCGAAAATGACAAATGAATTTTCCAAAGTTTTGACCCTTTACGACCGGTTGTTGCCAAATGGCAACATACAGCTATTCAACATAGAAGTACCGTTCAATTTTAAGCAATAGTTTTTTGCTATCTCTATGGCAAGATAAGAAAATATATGTAGAAGAAGAGTTTTAACTATGTCGCTACTGGGAGCCGGCAATACAGAGTTAAGTACTTCAACCAAGTGCTATGTATTAAAATTTGCCTACCAGCACGTGCGAACGAGGAAACAATTTTTTCAGGGTGAGAAAACAGCTTTCTCAATGAATAAATTCTTAATTAGTCGGGCAAAATCACTATTCTTTATTGATTTATTTCCTTCTCTAAGATGATTTTTGACTAATTTCGACCAGTCCTGTTTGACAGAGTTGAAAACAACAACATCCAGAGGCTGAAGAGTGTGAGTCGAATGACTTAGTAACATTAAGCATATAATTTGATTAACCTTCAGAAGGTTGACGATCTTTAAGCTAATATGTGAAGCATGGTCATCGATAATTAACAGAAGTGGACGTTTTAGATGATATGTTGAAAGGATGAATAAGTTTTCCAGCCAATATTCATACATATATGTATTGATCCATCTCTGAAACAGATATGTTGCCTAAGGATCATATCTGCAAATAATGCTTACTTTCTTTGTGACCCCGTAATGGGCTCCTTCTAAACCACCTCTGCACCAAGTGTTTATCAGATGTTGGCCTGTATATATCAGTAATGGTGGTAATACTTATCCACCAGCAGCGATACAGATAAGAGCCGTGCGATAATCTTTTTCAGTTCCCCCGTTGGACTTGAAAGCGTGTCGGCAACTGGAATTAACTATTACCCATTGACCTAACAATGTAAATAATACATATGAGAAGTCGATAAAGTTTGAACTAGTTACCTCTAGTCTTGTCTGAAAATCCAGACTCATCTGCATTAAATATCTGGTTCGGCTTATCAAGAAGATCGTGCTTGATCAGCACGTCTTTGAGTTTTTTAAGCCATCCCGATCGATTTCGTTCTGTAAATGCTTCAGCGCGTGCTCTTTCAAGTTTTTCTTGTTTCTTCCAAATAATGTCATCAAAATGTCTTTTAACAAAAGAATTCAACCATTTGGACCCTGGCTGCGTAGTAAATTTAAGAGATTCAAAATATTCGGCAGTCATTTGCAGAACAAGATTCTTCGTCACATCAAAACCATATTCTGGAAGGAGCTCTAGTAGAGAGACAAAGTGACTTTCTTCGTCAGAGTTTAAGTACGAAGAACGACCAGCACGGATGTTAAGAGTTGGCTCCCGACGATGCTGACGAATCGTACTAGCAGGAACCTTGAACGCAATTGAAGCTGCTTTTGAGTCCATATCACTCGCTACAGCATCGAAAAGAGCTTGGTGAGTATATTTTTTCGACATTTCCAGAAATGAATTTTTTCAATAATGATAGCAAGAGAAGAAAGAAAAGAATATTGTTCAATAACATTATTACGCAAATTGACTTAATTACAAGCTAATTTGTAAAATATACATGTACGTTAATTATTATTGGATCTATCAATCAACTCGCTTGTAAAAAAATTAGACATTTATGAGCAGATCGATCAATTGATATTCTATTACATACTGAGTGTAAATTAATCATCCCTATTAGTAAGTGCTCAAAGATAGAAGAATGTTGCATCTCAAACTAGAAGTAAAAAGTAATGCAAGGTTCTTAATCTAAAAACACTCAGTAAATTTTAGGTCTAAATCGTCTGTCTTTTCATTAACAGATAGCTACNACTGAATTCAGCTACATTTTTTGTGTAGACTGTTCAGTGAAGTTTTGTAGTTTATCTAGCGCCGATGTTTTTATTTCTGATGATGAACAATTTTGCATGTATTTTCTATTACATGATAAAATAAGGAAAGAGGAATAGCTGGTGTGATGGGATTAAGTTACACTACTTAATTGCATCACACGAAAAAGTTTATCGTTCCGAGAAAAAATATATGAAAGATGCATTTATTCGTAATAAGAAACACATCAATCGATAGAGCTTGATCTAGTGAATCAAATGATGTAATTTGTCTTCGAAAAATTATGATATTCTGACTGAAAACATGTTTTTTATGGCAATCCTATGCATTTTAGCTGGAGTGATGTAATTAAGATATGAACAGAACGGGACAAAAATGAAAGTAGGTGTTTGTTTCTTTATTGCTACTCACTCAAAACGAATCTTATCTTGATGAAAATCATACAATTCGATAGAAAAATGTTTTGTCTATTCCGCAATTTAAAAATCAGCTCAAACGGACTTCAGGAAGCCGAGATATTCGAGATTTTTTATCAGATCTGAATATCGTGATGGAATTCGGAACAGCCACTCTATTCATTTTTACAAGAATATATTTGCTTAATTGTAACACGTTGTGAAGAAACAGATTTACAAGAGCGATAATAGAAAATAAATGACTTCTTTTTGAATCAGAATGTTTTTAAAAATAATTTTAGAAGTTTTTTTATGGGTTCATTACGTTCACAATTAATTAATTATCCTAATTTACAATCTGTTAGTCAACAAATTAAAAATGTTCATCAAATGCGCGGTATTTTTATTGATTATATTATTCATTTAGATTCAAATCATTTTTTACTATTCATCATGTTGATATATCAAATACTTGCCATCTTTTATAGTGCATGCAGCTAGTTTTCTTTTTTCTTTAAAGAAATATCAATTCAATAATACAAAATATGCATATATATATATCGGCTTGTCCGCGTAACGTGTAACTTCTGGGGCGGGTGTCTCGAACTCTGTATTTGAAAAATCTAATATTACCATCTTGTAAAGCATAGTCAAAAATACATAGAAACATGTGTTATTTCTCTTTTATACATTTAAAAAACATTTGGCAGTTAGTGAAAGAGAAGCTACTCTGCACGCAGAAAAATTAGTGAATTTATGCTACTGATTCATCAAACGTTTATCTTGGCAGAAATAAATGGATATTTAGTCGATTAATATGAATAGAGAATATATCGAAATGTGCATCATTTGGCACAACAGATAATATCCTATATGTATTATAGATTTTCGTAGAGAGCCTATGTAAGTTTAATTTATTTATAACATCATCGCGTGAGTGATGGCATAATCCCGTTACACCGGGTAACGACTTTTGTGGCCGGAACTGAAATACATTTCGATCCTAATCAATCGAAGAACTCTTACCCATTTCTTCCAGTGAAGTGACCTTCGGGGGAATGACTTCATTGCTCTAACGATATAACTATATACTAAAAGTTGAGGAATTTGAGTTGTTTTGGTGTAATAACCTTGGAGATAACAAAGTGCTTACCCTAAACATCATTACACCAAAGCAACTCAAATTCCTCAGCTTTTAACACATAGTTATGTCGTTGGGGCAATGAAGTCATTCCCCCGAAGGTCGTTGCACCAAAACAACTCAAATTCCTCAACTTTTAACATATAGTAATATCGTTGGGGTAATGAAGTCATTACCCGAGTGGTAGTATCGGAATATTTTGGGAGCATTCATCCATAACCGAGTGGAATGTAGATATTGATGCACTTCGTATGGCATAAGCTTAGGATACTATGACTTTGGATTCTCATTACCCAGTTTAATGGGATTATGACATCTATGCATCGCGTAACAAAAAATGTCTATTGTTTGTTTTTTCATTACTGAACCGCAGCTAATTTTATATAAAAGCAAATACCTAAAGTTAATTTTTTGCGGCTATCTAAGGCATATAGAATTTTATTTGAAAAATATAGTGTGTTATAAAAATTTTATGTAACGCGATGCCGAATTTTACTTTTTTCTGACTTTTCCGTTTTCATAAAAGAGTATCTTGAGCGCAACAATTTTTATTCTAAAATCAGTATAAGTTGTAAGCAATCGATTTCTCATGAAAGCATATTAAGTTATGCACACAAAATTGTCAAATGGTCTAAGTGGATATTGTTCATTTCAAATAGAATTACCAATCAAAATCGTTCAATGTTTCTCTAATGTTTATTCTCGTTCAGTTACAACGATAATTTTAACTATCTCTATATAGGTTGAATAATCAATATTGAATTATTTCTCTTCAAAAAAATCTATTCTTTATTTACTTATCATATTTGGTGCTCAAGTCAAGGGTTTTCATTTGTTTATGTATTGGATAACTGTACACATGATACATATTGTATCAGTACGATACTGGATCAATTATTCGATGAAATAAAAAATTCAAAATCTGCAATACCTTCATGTTTTTTTCTGATGGAGTAGCTCAACAATTTAAACAACGATATTTATTTCGAAACACCTATGTCGGTTAGCTGATCTATTCAAAGTAATCACTTACGTGATGTTTTTGTTGAATCTACGTTATAAAACTATTCAGATTGAGCTCTCTTGGCATTACTTCGCCACGTCACATGGTAAGGGCGTGGTAGATTGTTTGGGTGCAACAGCCAAACGTCTTGTTTATTCTGCAATTCTTGCTGGACAACATTACAACTCAGCTGCTGATTTTGTTGTTATCGCTAAGTCGAAAACAAATGCAATTGAGATTTCAGAGATCGAATAGCATCTTATTGATGCTTCAATGGCATGGCAAAGATGAAACCAATTTCTAAATCAGTTAAACGGCTTGTGCAAACGTAACGCTGTGACATTTTTGACACACTTTTTTTGAAATATCTCAAAAACTATAATAGCTAGAAAGTTGGTTCAAACGTCATGCGATGCAGCTCGTCGAATTATATTTTCAATAAAAGATTGACGCTTCTCCATTGAAGCCCTTAGTTTACAGAAATTGTTTATAGGCGCGTAACGCTGTGACAAAAAAGGACCCTTAACTCGGAGTGCTCGAGCTTAGCTTTCAATTTCCTGCGAATGGCAACCTCCAAATAAAATGGATCTGAAACCAATTTTGTAGAGCATGAAATGAGCTTTCGAATGGTAAAAAATCTTGTCTTCTAATCGTTATCATTCACTTAAAAAAGGAAAAATGGAAACGTAAAGCTGTGACACTTTTTCTCGTGAATTTAACATCTACTTTTTAATTAATGTTGATTCGTCTTAATCAGTTGTTTTTACATATTCATACAGAACTTTTCTACGACTTTTGTCACAAAAGACCTTCTTAGCACCTATAAACATCTATAAGATCTGTGTCTGACTTGAAAATTTTGCATCCAGTCAACTATACTACTGATAAGTATTCGAAGTTTTCTTGGAGACTCTTAGCCACTAGAATTCAAGCGCTTGAGATCTTAAAGACTAGTGTTTATCCAGCTTGGGACGAAGACCCGGTCTCCTTTGAGCTGGGTAGTTTTATTTATTTTTTATTTCAAAGTTTTATCTTATCAAGTTATTTTTCAACATTTCGAGTAATATATCTTTTCGTAGTTTTCAGTTTTTCAACATTTTTGCCTACATCAATAGAACCGTGGTTAGAAAAATATTTTTCTCTTTTTTTCATCTCATCATTAAGGCACACAAAGAAAAAAACAACAATACCTAAAAATAAAAGTAGTAACAACTATGAAAACCTATGTACAATCAATATTTTACGCTTTTTCTTTGAGCACACATAGAATAATAACTAACCTCTAATTCATTTTCATTAACTACTTTAACATAATGCACCTTTTGTGTTTCCGGGACAGATTTTGCTGTTTTAAAAAGATTTTCCAGTTTAATTTTCGATTTCTGAATTTCGTCAATATTTATTTCAGTAACAATTATTTTGTCAGTTTTCTTTCTTGCGAGTTTAATAAAATCTTCAACTGACCGACATACATCTCCCGGTAATATAGCTGACCAAACAAGACGTTTTACAACACCTCCAATACCATCGACTACACCTTTGCCATGAGAAGTTGCAAAAAAATTCCAACTAAAATCAATGTTTCTCTCGTTTGCAATTCTCGTTAAATTTCGAAAATGATAGTGCTGCTTCAACTGGGAAGCAGCACCATCAGAAAAAAAATTTATTTCTGTAACATTTGAAATAACTGATTCAACATGATTTAAAATAATTTCCAAAGCAGAATTCACAACAAATTTATCATGTGTTACATCCGATGATGGTAAAGCAAAAGAAAAATTTTCCGTTTTCGATCAGACAAAGCAGTAAATATACTCAATGATTTTGAGTTCCAATGAGCTTGTTGAATCTCGTCCTGCTCTTTCATACTAAAGTTCTCGGCAAAATCAACTTGTAATACAACTTTTTCATCAGTAACTTCAGTTTTTAATTTTTCGAAATGCCTTGATTGCTCTCGTTTGATATATACGTGAAACAAAAAACATTCAACTTTCGATTTTAACAAGAGAACTGCTTCATCAACAGTTCCTGAACTCTTTTTTTTCTGCACAACCACATTCATTCATCCATTGTGACCAAGTTATTTTAGCACTACCAATTGACACCTGTTCTTCAACCTTATCCGAAAAGAAATTTTCACAAATTACACAACAACCAAACATAAAATCTTCGTTATTAGTACTACAAACCAAACTATAGTAAATGTTTCTAAAGACGAACAATAATTTCCACCAACATATTTATCAAGAGATTTCAAAAGCAAACAAATATTTTCATGATACACACATAGGCAATTTCTATGTGCTAATGCAGCTTTTGGAATAACAAATACTGGTCTTAATTCGGCAAATGGTGAACGACTTAAATTAACATTTTTATTCTCCTCTTTAAAAAATTCATAATTTTCACGTAAACTATTAAGCAAAATTCGTTTTTGATAAGTTATTTTGCTTCCATCATCTTCTTTAGCAACAACTACATCTCTTTTTCATGGCAGTTGATATGAAATATCATTTCGTACATAAAAATTATGAACATCATCTTTTAGCATATCAGCAAGTTTAATTGAAGTACGTTGATGTTTAGATTTAGAGAGCAAGCAAAACTTTTGAGCAAGATGTTGAACAATAACTTTTTTCTTGTTATCACATTAGGCAATGATGAATTTACTTTTTTCAATGTTTTACTAAATGATTGATGAGTTTTAAACGTACGTACAGAAGGAATATTAATGAGACGTTTTCTTTTGTTTTCTCGACATTTTTGTTGACGATTTTTTGCTCGTAAACGAAATTTAGCTAAATCTACCTCTGTTAATTTTGTTCTTATTGAATTATTACACCCAGGTCGAGCATTACGACGACTAGATACGGCCGTAAACGGTCGTTTACGGTGACGTATACGGCCGTATACGCCGAATTTACGACCGTATCCGGCCCGTATTTTAACGTTTTGGTATGCGCCGTATATCGCCGTGTCGTATACGGTAGTACACACCAACCGTTTCAAACTCGTATCCGACCGTATACGGCCGTATCATAAACAGCAAACGACCAAACACTGCAACTTAAACGACCGCACCAACATCGTGACCGACCGTATACAGCCGTAATTCTGAAGAAAAAAAATACATTCCTAAACCCCTCTCATCAATAGTGCGCACACTACAGACATCAATTCTACTAAATTTCCATAGGAATCACTCTAACCAAATGCAAGCAGTAAGAAAAACCTACTCCAAATCACACAATAATAAGACAAATCATACTTCCAACAGATCTTGTCGGAGCACTCTCTATAACCTAAAATACTCGCCCGCATCTAAAGTAAACTCCATATGATTTCCCGCGTATTCTGCAACAGGGATCGTGAGAAATCTGAAAAATACAAAAAGCATCAAATAAACCCTGCAAAAATCACCTTTTGAAGGAAGGATCGTAGCGAATCGTGGAAAGCAGCATTCGATAGCCAGCATCAAGAGATCCATATTGGGAGATTTCTGCTCCATCTTGCAACAGGGATCATGAGAAATCTAAAAAATACAAAAAGCATCAAAGAAATCTTGCTAAGGTCACCTTTTGAACGTAGGATTAGTGAAGATGATGTCAAAAAATACCAAAAAATCGATATAGGGTAATAAAAGTAATAGCATGCTGGGAAACGGTTGAAAAATTTAGAAGAATGAGCGAAATCGAATATGTTCAGTATGGATTAGCTTCAAAGTTTATCTCGGTTGTAAGGGAAAAGGATGTTTTTGTATGATTTAGTCGGACAGGTCAAGTGGAATTTCAAATTCTGCCAGATATAAGGCTTGTAGAGATTATTGGGAATCTATCTATACTGTTATTTGTGGTGGAGATGTATAGGAATTCTTGGATGTTGTACATTCTGGCAGTGCAGTTTCTGATCTGTTGCTGTAATCGTGAAAAATGATTTGATGCTGAAATCAGTTTTGCCCAAAGTCTGGTTTTTGATAGAAAGCGGCTTTGGTGAACTTCAGGTCCAATGGGACACCGGAATGAGGGAGAAGTAGCTTGATGTAAATGAGTTTGAAAAGTTTTGGAGGTTGAGAAATGATTTCGTGGACTTGGTAATATTCACTTAGAAGGGGGCACGTCATATCTTCTGCCCTTACCCATAACGTTTTTAGATGCTGAAATCCTGCTTTTGGATTTCTGAGTAAAAATGTTCCGGAATTGGCGGAGTTTGTGGCAAATGCTCTATTCATGATATTTCTACTCGATAAATGATCTCCTGGACTCTCTAGGTCGAAGTGCTAAGGTAGGACAGTTCATGTCGTTCTCTCCTTACACATAACGTTTAGATGCTGAAATTCTGCTTTTGGATTTTTGAGTAAAAGTGATCCGTAAATGATTGGCTTTGTCGCAGATGCTCTATTAAGATGGAAACAGATGATTGATGAAACTTCTTTTGATAAATGATGAAAGATTGAAGAATCCGGAAAATGTGTCAGAAATCACAATGAGAAATCATAGAAATAATAAAGGAGCACTGAGATTCTTGTGGTGTATAGAGTTTTGGTTTCTGAATAAATTTTTTGTATAATTGTGTTGATAGAGAGTAAGCTATAACGTTATTCAATATAGTAGCCAGACCTTGCATCACTATTGCGCTGCAACATTGACAATGATTTATCAGTTCAGACAGTATATCTTGATGTTTCTATGATTTTTTCATCTTAACTATTTAAGTTTCGAGTAGGGGATATGCCTGACGCAACAGGCTTGTACAAATAGTGAGACTCTTCACGATAAAACGATTGACGGACGTTGTTGTCATATAAGCTGGAATGAATTATATCTATAGTAAGCTCTATAGTTCCTGATTTATGAGCTGATTTATGAGAATGTTCCGGGGTATTTCAGAACTTCACCACCGAATTTCGGAGTTTTCCGCACAATAGAGAGTTCTGGCTGTGTTATGGTTTATTTTGATATTCTACCTGTAT